CTGGATGTCAGTCATCAGCTCATTATTTCGACTTTACGGAACTTTTCTGGGTTTCTTATCTCACTGGCTTGTCCTCGTGGTTTCCAGGATGGGCGCTTGGCATTTCATCTTTCTTTGAACCAATTCGTCATCAGATAAGGCGAGTCAGCAGAGGACGCGAAGTTTGGTCGGAAGCACGCGGTTGGTGGCGAGCGGCCAGTCGATTGCGCTTGAGCTCAGGCGAAAAGGTGAGCAACACAGAAACAAGCATTAGTCGTCTGACCCTTATTTTGGGGTTAGAACGCCGAACAAAACAGAGAAAGAAAATAAAAAGGTGACCTCATGCTAAAAATGCATTTCAAGGAGAGATGCGTGTTGAATTGTGCAGAAGTGGCAAAACTTGTGCAAAAAAATCACTGCCCCAATTGGCCCCTGCAATGAAATGACAAATTTTGCAACATCAACACTGCTTTTTTTTCCAATGCAAAACACATTTTATATATATTTTTTTCAATACGACCAGTTACAGTTAATGTAACAAACACATTCAGCAATTATTGAACAAAAATACCTTTGGAAAACCAAAATGTTTATCAACGTGACACATTTCTCAGCTTTATAAACTCCGACCCGAGCAATTCGTCTTGACTTAATGTATTATCGACTGAAGATTTATCACTTGTGAAAGACAATGGTTTCTCTTCCACGTATTATCGAGTTTTATAATTTATCACTTGTGAAAGACAATGGTTTCTCTTCCAGGGCACATTTCCTGAAAATCAAGCCAACGTCGACTCCGGTAATTAATCAAAGCGCTGTTGCGCAGCCTCACTCGCGCGTGGCTTGTTGCGGGACTCCATTCATCAGCCTGTTAATCCAATGGCATCGATAGACCCGTGGCCGCCGGTTAATCCAGATACTTAACTGTCCGCACAAGCGCACCCTCTCTTCCGATCGCCGCACGTGTGTCCGGTTCACTCCTTTCTCATCATCACGCTTTCTATCTGTTCACCCCTCGCGTCCCAACACGACAGTGGACAGTTTATCATGTTATCCAGGTGACAGGGTGCGCGAAAGGGTTCAAGTTTGAGTGAGCGCACGGCTGAAAACAAAGCAGCATTTCTCCAGCGAACTGATTCATTCCACGTTCATTTTTTGCAACTGATTCCTCATGATCTGCCAAGGCGTTTTGTACTTTAGTTTCCTTTCTTTCGGAGTGACTTCCCTGTGGACATAACGCTTGCTCTGATCCAGGATCAGCGAGATTCAACAGTGGGGGGATTGTGTAAAGCCTGTCATGCTTTTTTTTTTTCCCTCTAATACAAGATGTGCATTCATGCAGCTCTTTGATTTTTCGTAGTCTAGAATCATACTGAAGAAAAAAAACTTCCCCAATCATCACAATGCTAACAGACGAGCACTACGCACGTTGAAAAAAAAAAGTCCCTGGCAGTCACATTGGTTTTGCACCTTACCCAGTAGCATACATTCTCTTACACCAATCGGGGTTGACAAAAAAAATAAAATAAAAAATGGTGTGCATATTATAATACTTTTGCCTTCTAACTTGAGGCCTTTGTTTGTGCTTCACATTGTGGTCTATTAATCATTGAACAGTTTTAAAATAGGCCAATCATTGAGGTGCTTGCCTTCTACTCCCAAGCGCCTTCGAGTGCGGAAAATGTATATTATTTTCATAGACTATGCATTGACGAAAAAAAGAAGATCTAAATTGAGATGATTTTATTTTTGTGAAGCCACTTGATGAAATCAAATTGACTTGAAATACGGTTCCTCTTTCCTGGAAAGTGAGCGAGGTCAAAGAATTGGCTCCTTTTTTTGGAACAAACTTGAGAGTCACCTTTTCTGGCCAGACTCTTGAGGTTGCGGCTGTGGCTCGTACTTCTTTTGACTCCGGCGCTCTCTCGGCCCTTCCTTCCTACCACAAACTGGCTCTCACCTCGCCCCGTCTAACCCGAAACCTCACTGCCTCCTTTTTTTTTTTTTTTTTCCGCCTTCCTTCTTTTCCTCGGTGCAATGATCCGCCTGACCTCCCCCGACAAGCTCTCGGGATAACAAATCTTTCTCCATGATGACAGGAGTGACTTTTTCTCTCTTTGTGAGAGTCCGAGTGATGAAAGGAGAAACGGATCGACTCTGACGGCGTGCAACGGAAAACATCAGAGGTGTTGTGCTCAAAGCTGATGGAGGTAAAAGGCGGATCAATAATTTTCATATTCGGCCGCCGCGAACGACCATCGACCGGGTTGTGACTCGCAAGCGGGATTCCAAAATGTGCTATTTTAATTTAGGGGACAAGGTAGCTCTCGCTTCCAACCGCTATGTTCCTCTCTTCCCTGTCTGCCGGCGCCTGATGGATGAGCAAAGTGGTTCCATCCACTGCATAATGGCATGAAAAGAAGCCGCCGCAAGCAAAGTGATACAAAGACATCGAGACATCCGCCGGAGTGGATGTTTCGCTATTGGACAGAGTGACACCGAAGAGGCTTTTTGACCGTCGAAGTAGCAGAAGCAAAAGTGCTCTCCGCTCGCAGCCGAGTGAAGTCGACGATTGGCCGGGTTAAAAGTGATGCTTCCCCTTTCGAAAAGCCCTGATGAATTTCATCGCTCAAACTTCACGGGAGGCAAACTCGTCGGCTCTTCTCCAACATCCCAAGTGACACTTAGCGCCAAACGCTCGGAGATGCCCTTCGCAAGGTGACGCGGCGGGAGGCCCGCGTGCCGATGAGCACCGTTGCGTCCATTCCACTCGATGTGATTTCACGTCCCACTCGGCCGCGCGCCGGTCCGGACCCCCCGGCGTCGACCTGATACGGCCAGTGGTTCTTCGGCCGTAAAGGGCGGGCCGTTGCGAGGAGCGGCAATAAAAGTCTCATGATCATGATCGTCAAGCTCAGCGCCATCATCGCACCGGTTATCATGTCCGTCGTCGTCGATTGTCGTTGCGGAGTGAGCGCCGGGTGACCCAGGTGAACATTGACAAAGTGGGGGGGTTGCCCCCCGTGCCGGTAACAGAAACCGAAACTGTGCGGCTGCCGCGCTGTGAATCGGCGAAAAGACGTTTCGGACAGGTGCCTTGTTTTGTGAATGTGAATTTAATCGCATTGGTGAAAAGCGAAGAACGCGAAAGTAACTTCTGTCCATTATGGACTTTGCCTGAAAGTCCTCTTTCCGAAGTCTCACGCTACCTATACTTGAGAGGACTCTGAGGAGATTTGGAAAAGACTTGTAGAAAACTTGCATCTCACAACTGCTCACATTTCAAGTGAAATTACAGATTTTTCAGTTAGCGCCTCAGCGTCTCAGATGGAGATTTTACAAAGACTGCGAATTTTGCAGGCTCACAACATTTACAAGACGACAACTAGATTCTTTCGGCATACCCCGCTGCTCCCCAATGCAAAATTTTCCCATCAAGCTCAGTTGCATTTTTGCCGGTATTTTTCCAGTTCCATTGGAGCTCTTCGTCACCACCATGACTGCAAGACTTGTGATTATCTCAAACGCGGATAGAAACTGTCTGAAAGCCGAGACTCGGGGGGGGGAAAAAAAAACGATCCAAAACAGCCGACCTTACCACCTTACATTCAACAATCGAGATGCCGGGAGCACGCTACGACTCCAGTCAACTTCCTTCTGACTTTCAATTTTTAGTCTGAGATGATGAAAATTGTTAAGTTTTGTGGCCACCATGAGGGAGAACAAGCTCCTCCTCAATTGTTTTTGCGACCAGTTGTGTTGTTCGTGCAAGCAGATGATTTGGGGCTTATCTCATCTGATTTTGACTGAGAAACAGGAAACAAGTCGATCACGGGAGACATCTAGGCAGACAACTATGCACCCTGACGTTTGCACTGACGGGGAAAACATGCAAACACAACACACAAAGGCCTAAATGGATTCATTTGAGCCCACGAAACTTTCCAACATTCTGCCTCTGATTTGATTTGAAAAAAAAAACAAAAAAAAAAACCCTGTAATGATATCCGGTAACCTGATAACTTGATCAGCCGTCCACTAGTAACCGCTGTCCCCGAAAGGGTTAATAGCCGCGTTTGAAAGAGTAGCACTCTTGCCAACCGAATCCACTGACGATACATGGCTCATCAATCGGATTTATGTCCAGCCAATACATGCTGCAATTTTTTTAACGAAGTCCCAGTGAAACGGTTGATTCGGTGGAAATAACCATCAGCATTTCCCGTGCGGTGTTTGGACCTGCAAAGCGGTCACACAAGTGGAATGTGGATACGCGATGAGGGCATGCTGGCGTGGAGATAAAACGCAGCGTGTTCCACCGTCATCACTTCAAAGTGACCTCTCCTGCGAGGCAGCAGGGGTGCGGTTGTGATGTCAAAGGCGCCTATTGACAAATTCAAACGTCGCCTTATTTAAATAACATTCCATCCAAATGGCCCAGTGTTTTGTAAATGGCTCCCTTTTGTTTGCATACTCGTATGGGGGAAATCGATGCGGTTCTCGTTTGTGTCAAATGTAAATATAGAGAGATAGGTGTTGCTGCTTTCACAAAAGAGTGAGGACGCCTATCTGATGAGGTTAAAAAAAAATGTACTTATCAGCACGTGGAAACTTTCCAAATAATCCAGATGTAGTGCATGTGTCCACGTATTGGACAAGCGCCGACCTGACGACAGCCAAATCATTCCCAGTTTAGGATGGGTGATGTGATTCTGATATTTTAACGTTCAAAAAGATATCATCAAACAACAAATACAGTAACTCACTGGCTCGAACCCTCTTTTGAAGATTCCGAGGCGTCGAGTTTGATGCAGTGCACGGTGGCATCAGTCAGCAATAAAATATGAAAGAAATGTTCATACAAAATTGGGATTGGGTGGAGATTTGCTGGCAATTTCAATATAACATGTTGAGGAGAGTAGATGGCATTCGATAAATCGGAATAATTTACACACAAACACACACACACAGACGGACAGAACATGTCTTCATAAACTGTAATTGCAATTTAATCCTAGATCTTATCCAGATCACGGCAAAATGTAAATTTAGCATATAAACCGCATGTAGCATGTTGAAATAATTCAAATTCTGTCATCCCCAATCCAGTTTCAATAACTTTGTGTGCACAGTCCAGGATTTCGATTTGCAGCCAAATGTAATACTGATGAAGAGAACATATTTCTTAGTCGTTTAATTGAAATCGAAAAAACCTTTAAGGTTTATACGGATGCCATCATTCCAACCAAATGAATGCAGATCTGCTTCGTGAGGAACATGGCGGGATGTCCTTTTTCCCGATGTACTTGAAGGACATTTGGAGATGCGACATTTACATTCCTCTCTTACAACTCTCAGTCCCATATTGTATTAACCCTTGTAACCTCCCACAATGCTTTTTCTCCCACTCTCGTCCATGCTTGTGGAGGTTGTCTGTCTCCTCTGAGAGGCGAGCAGCGGACAAAACATCGCCGTGATTGAAACTCTGTGTTTGCCGCACGCACACATCCATGTACCGACACAAAGAAATTTCGGGGTGGGGCACGCGCGTCGTAATGCTTGTCGCGGCCCGAATCATTAATGCAGCCTCACAGAGCCGGCCGGGCTTGATCCAATGTGGAGCTCAGCACACATGTCTTCAATTGAATGTACATGTGTGTCATCGCCTTCCACTTCGTCCTTTGCCGGGAGACATTTGAGTCAATATGTTTGTTTTTGTGACATTCAAAGTAGCGATAAAGAATGTTTGATTGAAAGGTCCTATCGACAGATTGGAGTCCACCGGAACAAGTTGCTATCGTTCAAGAGTTCCGCTTTTCAAACTCCGGGGAGGTTTTGTTTGTAGGTAAATATTTGGAAGTACGTTGGCGTTCGGCGTTATGTTTCTGCGCATGCGAACTGAAGAACAACAGTCGAAACTAATGTTTCGGACAGTTTTCATAACCCCCCGCTAGTTATGTTGCTTAGCTGTACTTACATGTTCACAATCGCAGTTTTTACTGGTCGCACACCACTCTGCATGTTGCTTGCTAAACTGTGACGTTAGCTTAACTGTCTTTGCGGGTTTTGGACCGACCGAATGAAGACAGACGTCGGTCGTTGTTCTTTCTTCTTTGTGTGAGTTGCAAACAATTCCGTTTGTTAACGTCATTGACGAGATAAGCTATTAATTCAAATGAACGAGCTGGTCAAAAACTAAAGTGAAGTATTCGTAGTGGACTACCAGATTTGGTATTTTAATGGAAACCATGCCCAACTTATATCAAATGAATGAGTGTAAGTCAATATAAAGTGCATGAAAATAAATAATATAAGGCACACATGCTGTATCTGCAATCAGAACATTTCTGTCATGAGGTCGTGTTTTATTTTACAAATCTCATGTATGTAAAATAGTAGAACACTTTTTCTTGGAAAAAATATCACCCTAAGTAATTCTATAATTATCCAAATGATAGTTTTGTTTTTTGGAGTTGTGTTAAAAATAGATTTGATTTGTCAAGTAAAGGCGATCAAACAAGAGGGGGTGGGGTGAATCGAAGAGAAAGTGAGGTGAACAAAATGGAGGCGCTGAGGACATCACGGTAGAATAGATCGCATGTTGGTGCTGTGAGGGATGAGAAGAGAAATGCAATCAGGACCCAGACAGAAGTGTAACAGAACCATTTGTTTGCGGTCGTAATGGAGAGGAGATCCTTCGGCCCAGGTGATAAGTTTTGCTCGGTCGAGGCCTGACCGGACCGCTCGAGTCAGACTGTGAAAAACACTCAAGGAGACAAATATGTGGCGCAGCTGGAGAAGAAACATGAAGCAAACGGGGAAAAAAGTCTTTTATCCAGACGCGTTAAGTCCTCGAAGCTCACAAATAGTCAAGTGCTTCAAAACAGTCAGCCGCAGCGCAAACTCCTCATCAATACTTTATGATTATAAAACAATACATTTTCCACCGATATATATATATGAAGATGTTTTTATATAATTGAGGAAGGACGACTCACGCCAGGGCTAGAGGGTGGCACTCGCCCCTCCCCCCCAAAAGTCAGAAAAGCCGAAATAGTGTTGAAGCGCTTTAGCTCCACAATTGACATAGTTCTAATTCTTTTCATGTTTCCAACAACTATCTTAAAATATGTATAAAATATTTTTTTAAAAAAAATTCTTAATGCTGCTCATGTGTTGTGCTTTTTTGGGGGGGCTTTGTATTGATTTTTTTCTTTTTTTTTTGCAAGACGGATTGAACAAGAAGAGACCGCTTTATAGCAATTAAAAATACAGCTTGAAACAAGCGCTTTTTTCATTTTATTTGGAAAACTAAGAGCAGGAGATTGAGGACAGATTACACAGATTACAATGGCTGGGTCTGGAACATTTCGCCAGTGATATTGGGGATTTACTCAATTTGATATTGTGCGTTACCAGCATTTGGTGCTATAACACTTGTGTTGGAAGACATTTGAGAAGACTGAAAAGTCACTGTGTATTGGAATTTGGGATATGGGAAACAGCTTTAAATTAAAAGAAAAAGGACTTCCCCTTTACTGTGCCTCTGTGGGGAATCGCTTTATGGACTCTCATCAGTACTGCCATTGTTAAAACCACAGCTGGTGTCGCTGGGAAGAGACGGCGAAAAGGAGCGGAAGTTCAGGCGTGCAGGTCAGAAATGGAGGAGAGGGAGGACACGAGATGAGGGGAAACTGACCTGGAGCTGCAGCGCACGCTGGCCAGAGATGGAGGAGAGGATCAAGGCAGGAAGATGACGGAAAGAGAACAAGATGGAAGAGTGGGAGGTCGTGAAAAGATGGGGTAAGATGACACTGGTTTGACCCTCCGGACATTGTGTGTGTGTGTATATGTGTGTGTGCGTGTGTGTACATAGGAGTCCAACAACTCTGGTGAGGGAACGTCATAGCAAGTGTGTTTACTTGCAACGTGAACAAGCTGTGCTTTATTTACCAGGCAGGGTCAGGATAACACCACCACGCACAAACAAGTCCATCCGTCACACATTGAAGAAAATCTCTGATCTTCACCCCTCGTCCACAAAATCAATGAGCAAAACAGGCCGACCGCATGATTCGACCGAGTGGCTTTGAAAATATTCAACTAAAGCCGCCACGCATTTGGAGAAGCTGGAGAAAAGGATTTAAACAACAATGGAGAAATAACCCTTTGAATATTTGGTCTAAAAATGAAATCAGGCACAATACCTTGGATCTATAATGTTTGCTTTTTTGGTTAAAGTTTTTTGGGTTTTTTTTTGATCGAGCCATGTGGAATACATTGATGTAGTCCACACACAAAAAAGAAAAAAAATACAAGACGAGGATTAAAGATGTGACACTGTGTAAAAAAATTCAATGTTCATTTTCCAAACCTATAATTAATTTCAATTATGCGTGGGTTTTCTCCGGGTACTCCGATTTCCTCCCACATTCCAGAAACATGCACGGCAGGCTGATTGAACACTTGAAATTATCCCGATGTGTGAGTGTGAGCACGGATGGTTGTTTGTCTCTGTGTACCCCGCGATTGGATGGCAACCGGTTCAGGGGGTGACCCACCATTAAAAGATTGGTTTTCACTTAACAAAAATAAATGTGTAATGTAATAATCTAAATCACGAGACAAAAAAATATAATGCAGGTGCAAAAAAAAAAAAACTCTAAACCTTCCAAAATCAAACACGAATGTATTGGGATTTTTTTGGGGGGGTGGGTGGGGGGCGATGAGTCATACACCATCGTTAGTTGGAGGTGTCACCAAATCCTTTATTGGACCTAATTCCCAATTGTGTTTTTTTATTTGCCATTACGATAGGAGAAAATCAATTTTAGTGTTCTAAAATGCAAAATTTCGAACATTCTGCACCGTAGGTGTATTCGGTAAAGAGTTGGCGAACGCAGCAAGAGTCAAAGAAGCGGCCAATCCATCAAGACAATGCAGCAAGCTATCGACCATTGTTTGATTAATGACGGCGACTGTCTAGGCTGCAATCGGCTCTCATCTGCCTCTGATGTGGCGTCGTCGCCCATCTGTCTGCTCCAATTTGGGGTATCGCAACATCGAGCTAACCGCAACCTGCATATGGCCGCTAAAGATCCGCTCTGCCCTTGTTCCTCTGTATAAAAATACTTGGATTCATAATTATAACATCATCGTTCATAACGCCTCCGAAGAACGTCTGTCTTAGGGGGAAGTTGAGCGGGATGAAGGATGAGTATCGGGCTGATCTGAGGGCGCAATGTTGTTCGTCTAAAACTACTCAATCATCTTGTCTTAACACTTCCCGTATGGTGACTGGACGCAAGCCAAAACAGGTCTTTAATTCGAACCAGTTGCGTTCTTTCCACGCCAGTCTTATGTTTCCCTTTTGGTTGTACTCTTATGCTCATTTATTCTTGAAGTAGCGCACTGAATTTGTTCATCTTCTTGGACTTTTTATTCTGTTTTTGTAATGTACAGTATATAGTGTTAGTCCTCCCATACACTTTAAACACATGTAACCTTACCTAAAAGTACTAAAACACATTTCTAAAAGTATATCTTAGTACCTGTTCTCACTCTACTACTGTCAAGATACTGCGCGGGAGACTATTGTATAACATCACTTAAAGGAAATGAAAGGAAGACTCCCGCTCACACAGTTTTCCAAATAAAAGCAAAGAAAGTGAAAGTTTGTACATTTAAACACCAAAATGTTCAATCAAAGCAGTTAATTTTGCCAGCTGTACGTCGTTTAACTTATTGCTAAAATGAAATGTGAAATACAACAGACAGGCTAATGGAAATTAGCATTGATGATACCGATATAATAAGCGTTCAAACCGCTACTGTAACACACACGGTAGTAGCGACACACAAGGAAGGAGTTTATCTCTGTGCTGTAAAAAAAAATAAAAAATAAATAAATAATTGTTTAAAATAAGCAAAATTGTGGAAGTGCGAATGATGAACTGCCGTATAGCATGTGTAGCATCTCACTTGGTAACATTCTTAACTGTCAAAGTGAATAAGCCTTTTGTCACAAGTTCGTGCACGAGGACTCAAAGTTTTTGTCTGACGGTTTTCCCTGTTTTCCCACAAAATCTCAAACTGCAAACACTCCCCTACAGGTTGTATGTGTGGATATTTGTCTGTATAAACGTCCCACTTTCCCATCTGTCACGTGAGCCAAGGGGGAGTAAACAAAGTAATCCTGTAAATTCGTATCTTTGTTTGTTTAGCTTATGAAAAATGATGAAGGGGCTCAGCTGCAAGAACTAATTTGAAACAACGCCAGGAGCTCGACGGGCTAACTACTAAAAGTTTAGACTGTCCTAATATAGATTTCCACTCGGAGGCTAGGTCGTAATTGCAGGTAGCGAGAACAGCCTGCCTCGTTGTTGTTGTGCAAGGGACAGACGCCATCTGGCAGCTGTAATATTTATGAGCACAGCAAAGCAGGAAGTCAGGTGAAAGTTAAAGGAAGGCACAAGAGAAGAAGGTGACCGGTTCAGCGGGGCCACCTTGCAAGGTGCGCCCGCAGTTCTTCCACTTTGCAACACTGACACCGTCATAAAACTTTGATTTACTCTAATTGCTTTCAAGGGCAAGACCCCTTACGCCTCCTAAATACTTGTCGTGGGCTTTTGGGGTTGCACGACTCGTTGAGAGCAACGCGTGACTATGCCGTCCGTGCTCTTGTCAGTCCCAAGTGAAACCACTCAAACCAACCCAAGCTGGTCTGCGGAGCACAATGGACCACGTAGAAGATGCCAAACAATTTTAAATGTACATGTTTACTTCATTTGCTTTGCCGAGATGAACGGTTACAATTAGAGCTCGGATATATTCCTGCATGTGTGACATTTTCAGTGAGAGATAGACTAGATTCCACCAGTGGTGGGCAAACTACGGCCCGCGGGCCACATCCGGCCCGTTGGTCTCTTTAATCCGGCCCGCCGAAGGTTGGTACACAATTATTCAATGTGAATTATTGCATTCATTTCCTTTGGACTTGTAATGACAGGTGGATCTATTTTATGTCAAAGTGTTAAATTTCTAAATGACGATTAGTATCCCTGGCCATTGCACCGAAATTTTACATGCCGCCGTTTCTATGTTTACCTCCGCTTTCCAGCATAATGACTCGTTTGGCTTGAGCGGGGGGGATCGCAGTGAATCATGGGTATTTTCACTCCCTTGTTCAAACCGTCTGATGCCCGCCCCTCGCCTCTGGTGAGTCGATGCCCGTCCGTCTCGCTCCACTTACGCCCCGTCGCCACTGCCCCACCGCCGCCGCCGTTGTCCCGGCGCCGCCAAAGCTGACCCGCTGCTAATTGGCATCACTGTTGCTTTCTGAAAGATGACTTCTAACATTCTCATAAAGCATAATCTTGGTAAATTCGTTCTGATGCAGTCCAGTCGGGGTTTTGTTTGGCAAGGTGATTCTGCTCATGTGATCATCTGGAACAAATCACAATGAGTTTTGGCACTTGTCCCTGAACTCACCACTCACCCCGGCCGGCCAAGCCTGAGCTCACTGAACATGCATTAACGTGCATGGCCGCCGCCAGCAGTACGAGGCCTGGACTCTGATGGTTGTCCTTCCCAGACTTACATTGAGCATATGCGGATGGACAGACATACACAATAAATTGTTGGCGTCGACATTTGCTGACATAAGATTTGTGATTCTGATATTTTGATGTTTCTCAACTCAAAACGTTTTCAATTCATTCAGCCTTGATCCGCTTTGTGCGCATGGATGCGCCTTCCCACAAGAACAGCCTTGGCCTGTTGTATTTTTAGTACAGCGGCGTAGTGAGCCGACACATTCAGAACACAAAATTGACTGCGGTTCAATTAACTACCTCGAGATGTAGGAGAGGAGAAGCTGCCAGCTAAGGGAACGCAATACTACACCACTGCAAACTGTGCATTATTGTCAATCAACCTCGACAGTTGTTGTCTTTATAAACGCATGTTTGATACCGTTGTCTTCCGGGATCTCATTAGAATGTGCCGGCAGACGCATCTAAGCATCCGATGAGTCTGTTTTGGCGATGTGTTCATATGCTACAAGTCGAGTGGATGACGTGTTGCATCCACAAGTGAAAAGGTTTTTTGTTTTTTTTTTTCTCTTCCACAATCGTGGGCTCTGCTTCTGCGCGTGGATAAGTTTCCAACTTTCCAGAACACATTGTGTGTTTGATTCCCCACTTAAGACAAGGTGTTGTCATTAGCATGTGTCGCTTATGAACTCGGTAAAAATGCAGCATATGGATGCTAATCGACGTTACCTGGTGCAAATGTGGGCGGGTGTCTGCAAGCGCAACAGTTTGTCGGTGGGTGTTTGTCAGTCTAACAAACAAAAGCCATTTAAGACCATCTGCCTTGTTCATGGGGGTGGGGAGTGGGGGTGCAGAATGGAGGAGATGCTTGGATGCGAACCTCGGAATCTATAGACATCTGTGTGTGTCTGTGTGTGTATTATGGAAGAGATGTCTCCATCTGTTCGTATTGTTTCACTCGTCGATTGCTCAACTTCCAGTACACTTGCATGCCAGCGCGTTGTGTTTTGTTGACGAGCACACATGCTTGCGCGCACGTACACGTGTATATACACACACGCGTGCGCTACAAATAATCCTTGGAATATCTTGGTGCATCTGTCTATGCAGGCGACAATCGATTGGTCTTTCGTTAGTTGGCAAAAGGTCCAATAAAGCCGCCGAGCCACTCGTTGCCATTCAAGCAACAAGATTAAGTCCTGATGTCCGGGTGGCATATCAGCTTTGTGTTTAACTAGACAGACTGAGTAG